TGTTTAAACCTGTTTATTTACTTTTGACTTTAATTATTTATCCCTTGTAATTTTTTATTAACTGTGTATTTGCATTCAGGTGTCACAGCGGGTCAAATTTATTCGTTCATTGTGTGTTAATTTACGTTTTTTGATTGAGTTAAGCCTTCCAATTGATATTTTATAGTGTGTTTTTCAATGTTGTGATGGTATACTATTGTTTCAGAAAAGGGAGAAGGTTTGGTACCATTAAAACGTTTAATCCCGCTGCAAATGTTTGCACCTGTCCTAAGTCAGGAATTTGATTACAGTAGTTGTCGTCTGTATATGTAGTTCATACGTGTTTCTCGTTTCTCGTTTTTATATAGATTAGACCGTTGGTTTTTCCAATTGAATGGTTTTACACTAGTAATTTTTTGGGGCCCTTAATAGCTTGCTGTTCGGTGTGAGCCAATGCTCCGTGTTGAAGGCCGTACCTTGACCTATAATGGTTTACTTTTATAAATTGTAACTTGGATGGAGAGTTGTCTCATTGGCACTCATACCACATCTTCCCATATCTATTTACACTAAAATACAATTCCTGTATCCATGTTTTATTTTTAAGGATCTGACAATGCTTTGTTTCACAGACTGTTCTGAATACATTCTGGGAACTCATGGACTTTGATACATACTATTTCATTGGTAGACATTGATATGATTATCAGACTGAAAACATAAAACAGTGTTGGCTGATCCTTGTTAACGAAGCATGGACACAGGGTCTATATTTCAATCAAAATGAGCAGACGCTTAGTTGATTTTCAGTTCTTTGATACGGATATTTTTGTATATAAATCAAACTATTGTTAGAGGCTTTGTTAACTAGCGCAACAACTTATTCATTATGTAGGGTGATTAGAAAACTCACAAACTCCGGGTTACCTGGAAGATGTTGGTGCTCATCAAATCTTGCAATTGTGAATTCGTCCATAAATGACACGTATTTGACTAGTGTATGTTTAACAATATCCAAAGGTATGGCCACAAGTCTATATTAGGTGAAATGGAAGTTGAGCATTTTTTGAGAATTTGAGTGAATTTGGTTTTGAGAATAGTTTAGTGCTAACGTGATAAATGCCTTCAATTATTTTTGAATTGAAAGCAACAGCCTGTTTGTAGAAATATTATGAACATTAGGATTTGTATATTTCCGAGACTCGTGACTCCTACTACGGCGTCTAGAAGTTATTTATTATCATAATTAATTAAATATTACCTACATCTCTATAGCCCATCGTTGCTATATGTAAATGATTTGTAGGTCTTTTCAGATAAGTTACAGTATCTTTCAAAAAAAGTAACCCGATATGAGGATATTTTAAAACTTTTTACATTATTTTTTACATACTAATACAGCCATTTCGTTCTTTATACTATGTTTTGTCATGTTAAATATCTGTCAGACTGCTAAACCAGCTATATTTCTAATACAGTATTCTAGACGGTCTGCATACAGCTCATCAGTGGCAAGAAAGTGAATTATCAAAATAACGAAAAAGCAAAAAAATCTAATCGACTGCATTACAACTTTACAATCTGCATTAAAATGTATATTTGTAAAAAGAGGAGCAACATGTAGGCAGAGTGATTTTTTCAAGCTTGTGAGTTTGAAAACAAAAATCACTGCATACATGTTGCTATTCAATTTTACAAGTACATTTTGATGCAGATTTTGTAAAGACAGCCGGTAAAAATACCGATTAACGCACCAGAGTTGTCTCTCTTTCTACAATAATTTTAACGTTGAACCTTTTCCATATTTGGAAACGTTCAATTCTTATATCCGTTTTTCTGTTTGTGTAATCAACACAATCTTACATTTCTAACAAGGTCACTTTACAAAATGTTCACACTCTTAACTGTATCGCTATGGTTAAATAAAAGGTTAAATAAATGACAAAAAAAAATATACCAGCTAGGCTTCTAATTTGGTACTCTAGACGCACCAGTCGACTACATAAATCTAATCAGTGGCAAGAAAGTGAATTATCAAAACTCACGAAAAGTGCAAAATTAAATCTGATGCTTTAGAACTTTCCAATACAAAACACATCAAGCGAAACAAAATATAAAACCAGTTTTACAACAAAACACATGCGAATATTTAGACAAAAAAAAGACGTTTATCATGCCTTTTTTGTCTCGGCCGGGTGGGGATGACATATGATATGTTTTCACTGACCATTTTTCTTTCTTTTCTTTTTTCGAACATAAATATAATGAATTTAACAAAAGTCAATATTATATTTCTGGTTCACGTCAAGTAAACACCATATTAAAACTGATGATGAAGCCTATGATAATCGTCTTTTATAACGGTTCTTCCTAACCTCTATCATATTTAATTATCATGTACAAACGTCTTGTTATCTTTTGACAAGATAATCACCATGTCCGGAAGATCACATGACTGATTGGAAGAGAGTACTATCGTAGCCTAATTTTTCCTGCTTACTTCGTAACACTCGTACTAATTCATAAGGGAGCTACCATTTGATTTTTATGGGGAGGGGGGGCTAGGATGAAATTTGAAAAAAATAGGCAGGACAGGAGTTTTGAGTAAAAAACAAGGCAGGATACGACTCTTGCAAAAAAAGTCAGGATGACAATTAGGGTAAAAAAAAGTCAGGATAAACGTTAAAAAAAAGGCAGGACCGAATAGAGTAAAAAATAAAAAGGCAGGACAGAGATTACGACTAAAAAAAATGCAGTACAAAAATTTTCATCCTAGTCCCCCCCCCCCCCCCCCATAAAAATCAAATGGTAGCTCCCTAACCGTTCCTGGTTTTTTGTTTTATATACTTACCAGTAAATCTGTCCAAATGAACTGTGTCCTTGGAATACTAATACTCTATATATATACTTACATGATGATATTGTATTGTATTGTAACCCTGACTGTCGTGGTTAAATAAATCAATTATTTAATTTATTATTAAATAATCTTAACATCGCGTTATTATATGAATAACAAAATTTAAAACCGCAATTACAAATCTTTTCATACAATTTGATATATATAAAATAAAGTAAAATCTCTATATGTTATGGGTGTCATGGTAGTTATTACTATCAAATAACATTTACATAACTTTTTTTATCCGCAATTTAGATTTATTCATAGTATTTCATATATAAAGTAAAGTAGGTATCCTTTATTCAAAGTTGGGTTTTTCATTACGATAACAATCAGCATAGATAAGTTCTCAGATTTTAAACAAACTAAAAAGGAATAAAAGGAAAACACCAAGCTAAAATGTTTTAGTTAATATGTACTGCCAAGCAGTTGTCGCTTTTCTTTATAATAAAAAGTGCTTATGTAAACCTAAGTATCTGAACTCGCATTCCATTCAAAAAGTTAATACATACCATTATGATTGCCCGTCCCTCCTTTTTCTCATCAGCAGGTGTGCTGCTTTAACAAAAATCTTGACTTACCTGTATTAATTTGTAGCAATCCACAAAAACCACAAAACAATACCAATGCCGACAATTCTAAAAGATACATCGACGAACACCAGTCCCGCATTGTGGTCTTTGGGTATCCGCACCTACCCCTTAGCCCATTTCTGGGTTTGCGAGGTCGCTGTGGTGTGGGCCCAAAAACCGGGAACGGTTCCTAGGTTGAAAAACCTAAGAGGTTACGAAGTAAGCATGATCTTTATGAGAAAAATTGGTGCTTGGACAGCACTCTCTTCCAATCAGTCACAAACATGGCCGATCAATAGGGGAGTTTCACCAGTTCCGACTTAGAAACGACCTATACACTACATATATACATGTTGTTGACGTCATACCGGATATATAAATATCCCTTGTCATATTTATATTTAGATAAAAATGCTGACAGAAACTGATTTTACTTACAACATGGTGTTTAATTGCCGACGGTGTTTAATATTATTTTTATGTAATTATAGATCAATCGGATATTGGTTAATACCAAGAAGCTTTCTTATTAAATAAACTACTGTAAAGCAACCGTAACCCATTTTTTTATTTTATTTTATTTTTCTTATCAAATATACAAATTATCAGTTGATCAAAATTGTTGACTGACTTCAGTTGTATTTGTATGCCCCCGCGCAGCAGAGGAGTCATTAAGGGCATACGATACAGTTTTGATCCCACGGTGAATTTTTGACGAAAATTTGCATACAAGCTATTTTTTACCTGAACAATTCAAATATGTAATCAAAAATATACCTTCATCTGCTACTTTTAGAGATAATTGGGGTCAACATTTTTTACATTTACTCATAATTTCGGTTTCCTGGACATTTCTATCATTTAGAAAAACATACCCAACTTTTTGGTTTCAAAAGATAAACACAAGCGGATTATTGTAAAAATATTTGGGATATCTTCTTTACATAAGTATGCTTAGAATCTGTGTAACAATTCTATCGATATAGTTATTTTTTATCAAATTATCCATATTTTAGATAAAAACGGCATTTTTTGCCGTATATTTATCTAATTTAACAAAATTTCATCGGTGATTTGTTCATGAAAATCGGCACACAAACCATGATGGTCTGGATGGGGTTAACAGAATAGAGAATAATGGCCATAAAAAATAATGAACAGAGCAAAATGAGCAAAAAAAATAAAGAATAGAGAAAAAATTGGTACAAAAGAATAAAGAATAAGAGTGAAAAATGAAAGAACTAGGTAATAAAATGTATTTACAAAAATTAACCATGTACAGAATAAAGAAATCGTGTAATAATAAATAAATCTAATCACAGTATAGATACTATTCTGTCACCCGATCCTATTATATTAGCTGCTACTATAAGGATTCTATTAGTGATGTTAGCCTGCTAGTAGCACTAACAAAGTCAGACTTTCATACTGTACAGTACAGATGTTACCACTGGTAGCACTAACAAAAGACAGAGACCAGTTCCGGAGATGCAAAACTCACACGTAGCCGTCTCAAAACTTACTCTTACACGTGTTTAAACGTTACAGCCACCATACTTCTATTTTAGTTATTAACTTTTAACTTCTATTTCGATCGCTATGGTTTTGATTCGTAAAAGAAAAGTGTTTGTGTCTGCTAGATTGCATTCGGCTGGGAAACGTTCTAGAAAGGTTGTCTTTTCTCGCCAATTTCGTGGTGTGAAAGCTGCTGATGGAGAAGTTTCTGACCTTCAGCATTATGCAAAGTCATTGCCGTTTGGTAAAACTTCGACTTCTGATTCTTCTCTAACCCTGACTTGCTCTTCGGCAATGGAAGAAACTACGAATGAAATTAAACCTGATGCTGAATCTGGTAAGTAAAAAGGGTAATCATAATTTGATTTATCAACTTAAAAACTGTTTTCATTATGTATAATGGCGGATTCAAGGGTATTCGGTTGAAAGGTCTTGCGGTTTAGAACACCCTATTTTGTTTGACAACTCATACATTTGTATTGAGACATAGGTTTGGAACACCCTTTGTATGTATGATTTTAATATGTATGACTGCCCCCCTTTTTTTACAAATGGCTAAATTTGCCCTAGGCCTTTTCTTTCCCTTTTATCTTAATCCTTTAGACCTATTTTCAAAGTTATCCCTGGGATTTATTTTTATCACACTCACATTTGTCTTGAGATTCATGCGATATTTCCCATTTAACAATGCTTTTTTTTTGGGGGGGGGGCCAGTATGCCCTCCAAATGCATTGCAGTATAACTAGTTTTTTCAAGTCGTTGAATGTTGCTTTTATCTGGCAGATGCAGCAGCAAAAGAGACAACTCTCTATCCAAGTCACAACATGTAAAAAGTAAATAATTATAGGTTAAAGTATCGATATTGTTTACAATTACAGAGTCCTAGCTCACATGGAACAGCAAGCTATAAACTTATTAAAGGGCCCAAAAACTAATGAGTGACTAGTCTAAAACAGGAAAACTACCAGTCTAATCTTTATTAACCAAAAAAGAAACACTTGTGAACCACATAAATAAACAACAAAAATATTCCAACGAACAAGTCGACTTTGAAATGTTCTTTATGTCTTCAGAAAACTAAAAATCCATGAATAAGATAAGATAACTTTATTAGCACTAACGCATTAACAATAAATTGTTATGGCAACAAATTAAAGACAAACTACAATAACATATATACAATGAAGGAGTGACATTATTGAATTTACCAACCCAGGAACATGTTCATTTGTACGTTTTGCATTAACCATGAAAAAAGTACTTTCTGACACAGTTTAATATAAATTGAATGGGCTTGGTATGCTCAATGGTGTTTCTTTCCTACATTTGTACAGGTATTTTTACAGTTTGATGAACTAATAAACCTAATTTGAATCCTAATTTACTTGATTGTGTAAATTATATTCATGTGCAATACCATACTAACACCTCTTAAACTGATCTTTATGTATTTGATTTTTTCTACAGGAAAACTTACGTATGTTTCATTAAAGGATCAACGCTTACAGGATTGGAGTGACATTAGAGATGAAATGTATGAGGCCTTTATCAGTTCAGAGGCTCCATCAACTGATACCTGCCATGAATGTGAAAAAAAGTCCCAGCTCTTCAAATGCATTGATTGCACACCATGGGAAATGGTATGTGAAGACTGTTTAGAGAGGAGACACCAGTATCCTCATCTGCACATGTTTGAAGCATGGAGGGTAAGCAAACAGCAATTCTTATTGTTAGAAAAACTTATGAAATTACTTGTTAAATTTTAATGAAGTGTGGAGCATATTAATTGTTCTAAAAGTTCTGATTAGACATAAAATGTGCACACTTTTTATGTCCCGTTATGAAATTACTTGTTAAATTTCAATGAACGTGATGACGTGTGGAACATATTGTTCTATAACATCTGATAGTACCCAAGATGTGCATGATGTGCACATTTTATTTCCAATAGAACAATAGCGTATACTTTTGTCTTGAAATGAGTATGTTTATTGCTATGTTGTTGTCAGTGTGATATATTATATTGAAAACTAAATTTTATGCCCAACCTACATGTACTGTCTATACTTTTTAGGTTGAATTAATTGTTCAATGAAATAAAAACACATTAACTTGAAACTTAGTTCACATGTTTCTTATGATGTTATCTTTTTGAATTATACATGTATGCCATGATAGGGTTTTGACTAAATTTCACTGAACATGACCTACTTCGGTTAAATTTATACAGTGGTGGCATGACCTTCAATTTCAGTCAAACAGTTAACTAGTGCTTTGGTCCTAAATTGGGAGTGTAATTTTTTTCTGCATTGAAGGCCTCAATTTACTGGAGGTGAAAAACAGCAATAAAAACACTCCTCCTTTGCATGTTTTTATGTATGGATTGTGTTTTATTAATTGATGATACATGTATGTCACCTAATAACATGAATAACCTTTTTATATTCAGTCATATCAACTATTTCAAGTAACAGTAATTTGATTCTAAAAAAAATACAAAGTTTACAGTTTAAAGTTTTTATTTCTATAAGACATATCATATACATCAAATTGATTCAATGATCATGTACATATATTTTTACAAAAGTTAACACATTTTAAATGGATTCACCATCATTGATCCTTGTAAATGGAAATACCACCACAGAGGGTTTTTTTCATTTTGTACACCTTTATTTATTTGAACAAATTTAGTAATTTTCAAGGACTTGTTAAGTTACTTTTGGCAAAGGGATTTTCTAAAAGCATATAAAGATATGCCCTTTAACAAGCAGGGAAAACAAATATTTCAAAAAGAAGAAATTTTAATGTCCGAGAATATATAGGCTTAGGGACTACACCATAAAATTTAAAGATAAAATGTAGCTATTATAAACATGCCTTCAAATTTAAAAAAAAAAAGTAAAACATGGGGTCACCAGACTTGTTTTCTTGTTACATATAAAAATAAGTAAGTTCACAACGCATTTTTTCATATAATTATCTGAGTTATCTCCCATACTATCTGAGTTATCTCCTCTTATTAAGCAAAGTAAGTCAAAGAACACTAAAATAATGACCAATTATTGTTAAGGGAGTCTTCAAAACTTTTGACAATTTCTGAAATGCTAATTTTTAACCTTTTACAGCTGGACCAAAATCACTACTTTACTTTTAAAATTCATGACCCAAATTTGTTTAGTGTAATTCCATACCCATACTTGCAATTTAAGGCATAAACATGAAGAAATAAATTTGGAAGGGGTATAAAAAAGAGTAACACCCCGTACACACTAGTACTAGGGACTATATTTGTGGACAAAAAATCAAAGGACAATAACTGTGTTCCCGGACCAGATGGAAAAAAAAGATTGAGGAAGAAATCTGAGCCAGTACCTTAACTACAGGTCTTTTTTTTCAATTTCAATCAATAAAAAGTTATATCTAAAGTCAATAATATACATAAACAAAAGCTCTAGTCAGCTCTAGCAAGATTTTCAAATCAACTAATTAAGCAAAATATGTGCATACACACATACAAAAGTCATAAAATCAACACATTTAAACATACATTTTGTAGTATTTAAGATACCATCAATGACATATATAAAAGTTAAAAGCATAGTATAAAGCAAAATGAAGTATATCTTAAAACATGGCCAAATTAAACACAAAATAATATATAAAAACACTATGCATTGGCATAAGCTGTTATTTGGAACCATACATAAACAAAAGCTCTAGTCAGCTCTAGCAAGATTTTCAAATCAACTAATTAAGCAAAATATGTGCATACACACATACAAAAGTCATAAAATCAACACATTTAAACATACATTTTGTAGTATTTAAGATACCAATAATGACATATATAAAAGTTAAAAGCATAGTATAAAGCAAAATAAAGTATATCTTAAAACATGGCCAAATTAAATACAAAATAAAATATAAAAACACTATGCATTGGCATAAGCTGTTATTTGGAACCCATAGTCCAGTCTACATGTAACTAAGTTCGACTGTCCCTCTGGTATCTTACGTCCCTCTTTTTGAACCTCAAACTAATTGCAACATAAAATGTTTAAGTTCTAATCTATAGCATTTTGCCCCAAATAAACACAAAAAAGTCCCATAAAATCGAACTTGAGGAAAACTAAATTTTTTTATTTTTGTTATTACTTATAGAAATTAACATTGGAAAGGGAGATAACTCCGCAAAAATGAGTCTTTTTTGTCAGTTTTTGGGTTGATTTTCTTAAAATTCATGTGAAATATAATAATTCAATGGGGTTATAAGTTCGTATTTGACTATATTATATAATATTCTGCTCATGAAATGAACAAAACCAAAGTTTTATGGGTATTTTAATTCTTTTTGCATATTTTTCGTTAAAGAAATTGCAAATTTATGGCTTTGTATAACCATTTTGAAAAAAAATAATGTGAATATTTGATATTGTTTATATCTGTAAGTTTGCTGTTCAGTGGCGGATCTAAAATTTTTCATAAGCATGATAAGTGGGGGCCCACTGACTGCCTAAGAGGGGCCACTCAAGTCATGCTTCAATGATTCCCTATATAATCAACCAAATTTTTCCCAGAAAAGGAGGGCTGGGCCCCCGAAGAAACCCTCTAAAACTGCTCCATATCTGAATTACTACTGGTCATGCTGATATATTATAATAATATAATAGGTACGGAAATCCAAATCATTAATACTACTAAACAATGTACAAAAAATCAACCCCTAGTAACTTGTCCACCATCTGTTTCATTATACTTGTATGCGTATCATAGCAAAACAGCTGTGTAACGTTGTATGAACATAATGAAATGCAAAAAGTCTGTTAAAATTTGTATAAGCATGTGTCAGTCAACCATTATCTGATAGAGACCATCCTTCAAGTTTTTTAGGCAGAAATAACCTTATTTTCTGGAGGTGTCTTTCATGTGAATGTTTAGTACATGGATCTATAAAGTATAACAGATATTCTTCTTCACATTTATATTGGGGATAGATATACTCATATTATTATGTCTTGTCTCTTGATCGAACTGGCTCTTTCATGTGTATGAATAATTGATTTAAGCATATGCTCTTTATTTTTCCTGCTTTCACAGATTAAGTTGTTCCATACGCACTGCCATATCTATATTGAATGAGGCATAGTGTACATTGTATGTGTGTTCCTGTATTTGAAGGTATTTCAAAAGTTTTCGTTTTGAACTGATCTTAATATTTATCAAGTTTATTCTAGTGATCTTTCTACTCGTTTCCATTTCATAATCGATTTTGGGTGTTGCTATCTACATGTATCTATGATCTATCTATCCTGTCTTTGCCAACTCTGTCAGATGAACCACTAGCTGGCACTGTTGTCTTTTGTCAGTGTAGATTTAACTTGATTTTGAATCATATGAATTGTCACTATATACATATCCACGGTCACAATAAGGGTGCACTAATAGAACCAGTTAAATAAAAAATATTGAACCAATACTCTGTACACTGTACATATCCCACCAACAATGATTAGACTGCAACTAAAATGTAATCACATACATATTTCCTTCTCATAGCTGTTTCACTTCAGTATCATAACATTGATGCACGCTTTTGATGCTTGCAAGCTAAAGCATAGTCCAGCACTAATTTTCTCAATGTGTACATGTTGTTGAGTTGACAAGAAATGAAACTTTGAGCAGTCAACATGGTCAATAATTAGTTGTAGCAAGTTAGTGTAGTGTGGCTCACAATAGCTCATCAAACAGAGTTCCACTAATCAGCTAATATTGTCTTTAAGATATATGTAATTGTCCATACATAAAAACGCATAAATGATTTAAACGTCAAATGAAGTCATTAAATGCCAACAATCAACAACGGACTAAAATTACGTGCATAAAGAAAAAAGAATTTAAACAAGTTTTTACCATTATACTTTATATTAAACAAAAAAGAATGCTCTAGGTTCTAATTATTAATAGCCTTATAAATCATTAAAGGAGATTCATACTAGGAACTCATTTCTTAGCGGTTCTAAACAAACAGGGTAGATCTATACTAAAATTACTATCGTCAGGACGGTCTGGCGGCTAATACTTTCACAGAACGTCGCGACAAGAAACATAAAAACAGCAAGGACGTTCCTGAAAATAGCCAACAAGACTTCATATTATTTGAACTGCACTACAAGTTGCATCATTGTTTTACTTTGCGTGATCATTTGTGAATGATATATTGTGTTATCTAGTAACTGGTGTATTAAAGGTCATTACCATCATATTTACTGTAGATCTGAAACTGTAACAAATGTCGAAAAATAATTATGTGTGATGCTCTATAAACTTGCTGATAAACGGTATTATTTAGAATGTTTTTGAAAATATTGTCATGATTGTAAGGAATGCTTTCATTGGATGGCTATTGATGCTGAATATCCTAAAACAATTCCGGAAGATTAGCGGAACCAAACATCTTTTGTTAGCCGCTACTAGTGGTAACATCTGTACTGTACAGTATGAAAGTCTGACTTTGTTAGTGCTACTAGCAGGCTAACATCACTAATAGAATCCTAATAGTAGCAGCTAACATAATAGGATCGGGTGATTCTGTACGCTATCTGGAAGTCGCGATTTTCGAAGCGATGATTTCCAACTGACTAACAGGACGGTTTTGCCTACGGTGACTTTTCTCATCATTTGTTTACTCCTATATCTATAAAGTGCTTTGAACATCTTCAAGGTATGTATAGCATCATAAATATGAGTAACTGTAACAAAAACT